GTCTTCATGCTTAGTCTCTGTCCCTGCGTCCTCCTCGTGGTTGAAACAGCTCTTCACGTTCTCCCCGTCTTCGAGCAGGGTTGTTTGTTACTTTACTGTTGCGGTTTGAGTGTCCTTTATATATTCTGAATAAAAGACCTTTGGCAGATCTATAGTTTGTGAATAATTCCCCCGTTTTTGCGTGTTAGTAGGGTTTCACAGAGCAGAGGGTTTAATTCTGATGAGGTCCAGTGTGTCAGTTTTGCTTCGTCTTTGGATTGTACTCCTGGTGCTATATCTAAGAACTATTTGCCTATCCCTGGATCCTGAAGATTTTGTCCTATGTTCTTTTCTAAAAGTCTTACAATTTTGCATTTTACATTTAAGCCTGTGATCTGTTTTCAGTTAATATTTGTACAAGGTTCACCTGTTGCCTCTGGGGATTGAGTGGCTCCAGCACCATTTATTGAAAAGACCATCCTCCTTGCGTTGAATGGCTTTTGCTCCTTTGCCAGAAATCAGTTGGGTACAGGCCAGTTAGCAGATGAAAAGATGCCCTGGTCACCAGGGAAACGCAGATCAAAACTACAAAGAGATGCCGCTGCACACCCACCCTTTAGAATGGCTACTATCAAAAGACCCAGAAAATGTCAAGTGTTGGCGTTTACCAAACTCAGGTCCAGCTGCTCGCTGCTCAGAAGCCAATACTTGAGAGACAAGTGTTGGCAGAACAGAACGGTTGCTTTATTCAGGAGGCTGGCAACTGGGGAGAAGGGGGACTCATGTCTAAAAGCCAGCGCACCCTCCCAATCGCAAGGCAAGAGCTCTTACAGGGGAGCCCCAGGGGTGCACAGGCCGAGGGAGGGGGCTACGTGCAGAACAGCCCCTTCAGCTCTGACCGTCGTCCTGCAGTTGGTCACGGCGGGGTCTGATCAGCATCACCTTGACTGTGTTAGTGCAGCCAGTCTTCAAGTCCAGGAGAGTTCGTTCTCGTTTCGTTGAGGCCGTTCTCAGAGTTGTACAAGATGGAGCAGTTGTGTGGCGGCTACGGTCCGGCCAGCGTTTAGTTACCTTCCTCCACCTGCT